TCCTGTCTCTGCCTCCTAAGTTGCTGGGACCACAGGCACCCACCACAATGCCTGGCTATTTTTTTTCAGTTGCAGACATCATGGTTGTTTGGTGGTCCCGGGCTGGATTCGAACCCGCCACCTTAGGTGTATGTGGCTGGCGCCTTAGCCACTTGAGCCACAGGCGCCGAGCCCAGGCTCAATATGAAACCCTCAATTTAAATATTGAAATCTAGAACCTCTAATCTCTTAGGTGCTTAATGAATATTAGATTCTTTTTTTTTTTTTTTTAATGAGACAGAGTCTCATTACGTCGCCCTGGGTAAAGTGCTGTGGTATCACAGCTCACAGCAACCTCAAACTCTTGGGCTTAAGTGATTCTCTTACCTCAGCCTCCCAAGTAGCTAGGACTACAAGTGTCTGCCACAATGCCTGGCTATTTTTTGTTGCAGTTGTTATTGTTGTTTAGCTGGCTGTGGCCGGTTTCAAACCTGCCAACCTTGGTGTATGTGCTTTTCTGCAGAATTTTGTTCTTTAGGATATTCCCATTTCTCGGCCTGCACTACCTTATGTTTCTATTGTATGTACAGGAGTAATTTCCAATTACATTTCCTACTATAATAATATAGCATGCCTTATTTTATAAGGAATCTAACATACTGAAGAAGTACAGTATGTAATGGTTTAAAAAAAAAAACCACATAAACATTCTTCAAATATCCTGATGATTTTTCTGTTACCCAAACCAGGTCATATTCAGAACATTTAAGATATAGGTTCCATTAAATTTACCTGAGGAAATATTGACAATTTCTTTAACGATGGCATCCTGGGCTTCTTCATACTCAGTTTTATTTTTGGTATATTCTTCGTTGAGAGAAGTCAATTTACTACAAATCAAGATAATGGAATTGTTAAAAATATTAAAACATCTACTAGAAGTAATGTGTACTACATAAACACATGCAGAGTCTCCATCCTATGAAGCATCAAAACAATAAAATGGAAACGTAAGTGGAAAATGGGCAACTCATCAGGGGTAAATGTGCCTGCAATTCAGTCTATTAATGTTCTTTAACGCTGTTTGGAATAAACACATTAGCATAATTCTTGCTATAACTATTACTCCCTTGAGAAAAATTCTGATCTGTGCCCTTTTATAAAATATTTGAATGGAATATACTTATTTAGAATAGAGGCCACTATCCCTTTTAAAACACACATACAGATGCTATTTCTCATTACTGTAGCATAACTATCTAGTTTTCAAAATGAGGAAAATGTTTTAAAAACTAAATCTTACTGAACAACTTGATGAAAAAATGTTTTAAGAACTAAATCTT